GTTTACAGATTAGGAAATGAGGCTGGGAGAAGACAGAGCCGGAACCAAAAGCTCTGACCCCCACTGTGTCTCCAGGGTGGGGGACCCTGTGCCCAGGCCTCTGCTAAATATGCCTGAGGCATTGGCGAGGAAGGAGCCACAGGGCAGATGAATCGATTCAACCAGGTCAAAGTTACCCTAGAGTTAATAAGTAATGAGTCTGGGGAAAAGAGAAAGCCTAGGCTGTGTGGTGGGAGGAGAGGGGGCCTGGCCATGGGACCTGACTGGAAATCCTCAGAAAGCAGTGTTGCAAGGACCCCATCCTGGAAATGGGGGGCCAGGAGGGAGGGGGGTGGTCCCTGCTGTTCCTAGGCCTGGTCATGCCTCTGTGGGAAAAGGATAGGGGGCGAGGGTGCAGCAGGGAGATAACTGCACGCAGGCAGGGGTGGATGGGGGAGGGGGCGCCTGGACCCCCCCCACACTCAGAAATCACCACCACTTCCTCTTAGCCTCTCCTTGCACCCCAGCTTGGGTTGTCAGACAAAATATAGGGTGCCTAGTTAAATTTATTTTCTCATCCATTGTCATTTTTTTTATTGAGGTAACACTGGTTCATAACATTATGTGAATTTCAGGTGTACATCATTATATTTCGATTTCTGTGTAGATTACATCATGTTCACCACCCAAAGACTAATTACCATCCATCACAATACACCTGTGCCTAATCATCCCTTTGACCCTCCTCCCTCCTCCCTTCCCCGTAACCACCAATCCAGTCGCTGTCTCTCTGTGTGTGTTTGTTTTTATCTTCTATTTAGGAGTGAGAGCATACTGTATTTGACTTTCTGCCTCTGACATTTTTCTTAGCATCATACGCTCAAGGTCCATCCATGTTGTCGCAAAAGGCAAGATTTCATCCTTTTTTATGGCTGAGTGGTATTCCATTGTGTATATATACCACATCTTCTTTATCTATTCGTCCCTTTATGGGCACCTAGGTGGCTTCCAAGTCTTGGCTATTGTGAATAACGCTGCAATGAACATAGGGGTGCATATATCTTTACACATTCATGTTTTCATGTTCTTTGGATAAATACCCAGCAGTGGAATAGCTGGATGGTATGGCAGGCCTATTCTTAATTTTTTGAGGAATCTCCGTACTGTTTTCCATGGTGCCTGCACCAGTTTGCATTCCCACCAGCAGTGTATGAGGGTTCCCTTCTCTCCACATCCTATCCCAGAGTTGTTATTTCTTGCCTTGTTAATTATAGCCATCTGGCAGGCATGTGACTATGTATACTTTGTACTAAGTAGGTCCCAGTTATCCCATTCTGCATCCCAGGCAGCCTCCCTCCCCAGCCCTCCACGCCCAAAAGCTTGCTAACTGGAAGTCCCGTCCCCCCAGCCACCTTCTCTCTCTCCTCTGCTGGCTTATCTTTCCCAACATCCTCCTCCCAAACTTCTGGGCACAAATGCACATCCCCCGGGAAAAAGGCATGAAGAATTCCTGCTGCCACCTCCTCCCCTCCCAATGGGCCTTACTCCATTTTCGCCAGCATCCCTCTGGTCAGTCCTTGGAAGTCAGGGCCAGGACTCTTCCCAGACCTCCAGCACTGTAGGCATGAGCCTTCCTTCTGAGCCCGGGGTCTTCCAAGCATCTCGGCTCCTTTAAGTGTCAAAACAGCAGAAACTACCCCCAGTCCCATTTTTCAGATGGATTAACTGAGGCTCAGAGAAAGGAGGAACCCCACCTTGCAGGGAGACAGAGGCCGCAGGAATTCTCTCTCAAGGTTTTCAAACCACAGAACCCAAATGCTTAAGGCTATAATGAGACCAGGAAATGGGATGGGGTTTGGGGGGGCTATGGGAGAGGAAAACAGAATAAAGTACCAGCAGGTACCACACCCCCCATTTCAGAAGTTGAATCCCCATGCTTCGGGGGAGCAAGCAGGTGTTTCCACTCTGCCTCCTCCTCCTCCTTTCAAAGAAAGGATGTCGAAATCAAAGCAGACAGAAGCCAGGTTTGTTCTGTTTCTCCAGGCCTCCCCCACCCAGGCATGAGGGCAAGGCCAGTAAAAGAGCCCTGCTTACAGGAAATCAGGCCAATTCCCTGTTAACCCCTTGATGGGGCTTTGGAAACCAGCCGTCCAGGGATCAGGGCCCCCCCACACACACCCCATTCCCCTCTACACCACGGACTTCACACACTCCCTACCTCAGATGCGCAACCTTGCTGGGAATCAGAGAGATGCAAATTAAAATGACACTGGGGCAATGATCCAAAGCTTTGCAGTGGGGAAACTGGCAATTTCGTGCAGGGCCGGCAAGTATGTAAATCAATACAGTTATGGAGGGGAATTCAGCGGTATCTAGCAAGATTACTAATCCTACAGATTTTGATCCAGGCTTATCTCCTTTCATGGCAATAACAACCCTGTGAAGTTGGTGCTGTTATAACCCCATTTTACATGAGCAAAGTGAAGGTCAGAGTGATTACCAGTAGTTTGACACCCCTAATAAGTGTCAGGGTTGGAAACTGAGGCACGCTCAAGATAACTCAGTGGAGAGCGCGTGGGTTGTAACCATGGCAGTCTGTCTGTCCGCCAGCAGGAAGCTGGTTACTTTCACACAATGTAATATGGGGCAGTTGCCTGTAAGAACAAGGAAGCTCTCTGCGCACTGATATGAAATAATCTCTAAGGTATATTGTTTATGAAAGAGCAAGGTATCATCTATGGATGGCTAATCTTTGACAAAGAAGCCAAGAACATACGATGGAGAAAGGAAAGTTTCTTCAATAAATGGTGTTGAGAAAATTGGACAGCCACATGCAAAAGAATGAAAGTAATCATTCTCTTGTACCATACACAAAAATTAACTCAAAATGGATTAAGGACTTGAATGTAAGGCCTGAAACCATAAAACTCCTAGAAGAAAATATAGGCCGTACACTCTTTGACATCGGTCTTAGCAATATCTTTTTGAATACCACGTCTACTCAGGCAAAGGAAACAAGGGAAAAAATAAACAAATGGGACTACATCGGACTGAAAAGCTTCTGCAAGGCAGAGGAAACCATGAACAAAATGAAAAGAGAAACCACTTTCTGGGGGAAAATATTGCAAATCATATATCTGACAAGGGGTTAGTTTCCGAAATATATAAAGAACACGTACAACTCAACAACAAAAAAACAAACAACCTGATCAAAAAACGGGCAGATGTTTTTCCAAAGAAGATATACAGATGGCCAATGGGCACATGCAAAAATGTTCAACATCACTAATTATTAGGGAAATGCAAATCAAAACTACAATGAGATATCACCTTACACCTGTTAGAATGGGTACAATTAATAAGGCAAGAAATAACAAATGTTGGCGAGGATGTGGAGAAAAGGGAACCCTCATACACTGCTGGTGGGAATGTACACTGGTGCAGCCACTATGGAAAACGGTATGGAGATTTCTCAAAAAATTAAGAAGAGAAAAACTACCGTATGATACAGCTATCCCACTACTGCGTGTTTATCCAAAGAATATGCAATCAACAACTCAAAGAAATTTACACACCCCTATGTTCCTTGCAGCATTGTTCACAATAGCCAAGATGTGGAAGCAACCCAAGTGCCCATCAACTGAGGAATGGATAAAGAAGATGTGGTATATATATATGTATAATGGAATACTACTCAGCCATAAAAAACATCCCATTTGCAACAACATAGATGGACCTTGAGGGTATTATGCTGAGAAAAATAAGCCAGACAGAGAAAGACAAACACCATATGATTTCACTCATGTGTGGAAGATGAACAAACACAAGGATAAGGAGAACAGATTAGTGGTTACCAGAGGAGAAGGGGGTCAGGGGAGGGTGAAAGGGGTCAAGGGGCACCTATGTTTGATGACAGATAAAAACTAGACTATTGGTGCTGAGCAAGATGCAGTCTATACAGGAACTCATGTATAATAATGTACACTTGAAATTTACACAATGTTATAAGCTAATATTACCTCAATAAAAGAACTTTTTAAAAAAAAGCAAGGTGTAACCCAGGAAGACAAAGAAGAATAGTATATAGAGCGTGCTGATAGTGGTTTTTATGACTTGCAAAACTTTGTAAAGGCATAAGATACCTCTGCAAAGAAACTCAACATTTGGTTACCTGGTCACATCTGAGACCTGGATGGCTGGCAGCAAAAATGCCAGGAAGATTCCCTTTTCCTGTATATCTACTTATACCCTTTAGATGTTGAACCTTATGAATATATCATCTATTCACACACACAAAATTAAATACAATTTATAATAATAGTAACATCATAAGAGAATGTTGATGTAAGACAGATACAAAAGCTAGCAATGGGGACCTTCCTCAATGAGGACTTGTCTTAACCATCATAGCTACTCAGGCATCTTGAGAAGGGTAGGCAAAGCGAGCTCCTGTCTGGGTGGTGAACTCCTACACATACTTCAATGCCCAGCTGAAATGTCCTCTCCACCACAAAGCCTTCCCTGACCCTCCAAGAAGCAGAGTTCTTCTTCTCCCCTGGGGAAGACACTCCATGGGGCCAGGAGTGTCTGTGCTGGACTCTGTCCCCCACCCCCAGCCCAGCATGGAAGTGGAACTCTAGCTACCCGCATAGAGATGGACTCATGGGAAGAGTTGGTTAATAAATGCATGGTCTCAAGTGGACTGGAGGCCGGGCCCAGATATCTGAGGTGGGGGGCTCTCTGGTCCTGAGTATTCCTCCACTACAAAGTGGATGTAACAGGGAAAGGTCCCTGATCACCAGCTGGCCTTGAACCTGAGGGAGTCCAGGGCAGGGGGCAGTTGTGTTCATGTTGCAGGAGGACATGCCCTCAGGTTATTTACCCCAGGCTGTGCTGGCCTCAGGGATTGAAAAATTTAGAAAATGGCGTTGAGAAATCTGGGGGCAGTCCCAGGGAGGGAAGAGGCCACAGGGAGTGGAGGGCTGGGCTTAGAGGGAGGAGGAGGATAAAAGGAGGCTTCCAGAGATCTCTGCTCACTCCTCCCCGTGCTCTCCCTCAGTCCCTCTGTCCCTCTGTCCCTCCACCGACCCTGCACCATGGGGCCTGCCTCAGGTCCCAGCCTGCTGCTGCTTCTGCTGAGCAGCGTCTCCCTGGCCCAGGGGGATCCCTTGTAAGTAGTCACGACGCCACCCCACATAAGGCTGCTTCTGAAGTAGGAGTGGGCATGTGTGGGGACAGGTGGCTTTAGAATTCAGGGTGCATTTGGGTGTCTGTGGATGCAGGGATGAGGGGTCGGGATGTTTATAAATTCAGGCTGCCTGTGAGGTTGAGTATTTATGGGTTGGGTGTGTGTGGAATTCAGGTGTTGTGGGATGGGGGCGTCAGATGTTTATAGAACTGGGTGTCTGTAGGTTTAGAGTGCGTGGGGTATGCAGTGATTCTGTGTATGGGGTGATGTGGAGTCTCGGAGGTCTGGATGTCACAGGATTTGGGAGTTTGCAGTCTGAGGATTTATGAGTTTCAGCGTTTGTAAGTTTAGAGACCTGGTGTTTGGGTCTATGTCGGCTGGCAGGGTGCATTTGGTTGTATTTATAGGCTTGGCCTGCTAGAGGCTTAGATTTAGAGAGTTCGAGGGTTTGGGGTTTAGAGGTTTGGTGCATAAGGGTTTGGGTATGTATAGTTTGGGATATCTGAGGGTTGGGTGTTTAGAGACTTGGGGGTGTTTAAAGATTTAGGGGTTAGCACTTGAGGAATGTGGGCTTAGGCAATTGTGGGTTTGGAAGTCTAGAGGCTTGGGGGAGTTGTCAGTTCTGGCTTTGAGGTTCAGGAGTTGATGGGATCCACATCCCCTGGCTGTCCCGGGTCATTGGATCCAGTCCAGGACGAGGGGCTGGGGCAGAGCGCGGGGGACAGCGCTGACCCCGGTGAGCTGGAACGTCAGCTCCCTGGGATGACAGCTCCACCCCGACGCCCACTTCCGGCAGCTTCACCATGATCACCCCCAACATCCTGCGGCTGGAGAATGAGGAGACGGTGGTGCTGGAGGCCCACGGAGCTGGAGGGGACGTTCCTGTCACGGTCACCATCCACGACTTCCCGGCCAAGAAGCAAGTGCTGTCCAGTGAGAAGACGGTGCTGACCAAGGCTGCGGGCCACCTGGGAACAGTCACTGTCAAGGTGGGAGCACACTGAAGCCTGACCCTACTGATGCCCCTCCCCTCTCTGAGTCCTCCCCCTCTGAGCCGCAACCCTCTCTGAGCCCCACCTCATTTGAGCCCCGCCCCCCTCTGAGCCCTCCCCTTTCTGGGCCCGGCCCTTTGCTGAGTCCCCTCCCCCTGAGAGTTCCTCCTCTCCCTGCGTCCCTCCCCTCTGAGCCCCGCCCCTTCTGAGCCCCTCCCCTCTCTGAGTCTCCTTGCTCCTCTGAGCTCCTGATCTCTCTGAGTCTTCCCCCTGCTGAGGCATTCCCTTCTGAGCCCCATCCATCTCTTAGCCCCATCCATCCTAGCCCGCTCTCTCTGAGCCCCTCCTTTCTCTGAAATCCACCCCTCTCTGAACCCTGCCCCTTTCTGAGCCCCTCCTCTCTGAGCCCCGGCCCTTTTGGCCCCCCCACCCCTGAGTCTCCGCGCCATCTGAGCCCCGCCCCTTTCTGAGCACCTCCCCTTTCTGAATCTCCTTCCGTTTCTGAGCCCCTATCCTCTTAGCCCTCTCTTTCTTCAGAGCCCTTCCCATCTCTAAGTCTCTCCTCTGAGCCTCAGCCCCTCTGAGCCCGTCATCTCCAAGCCCCCTTCCCCTTCTGAACCTTCCTCCTCTGAGACCCCTGTCTGGTTCCCGCTTCCCATCGCCCTCTGATCCGTACCCCGTCTCCTGGTACCCCTCCACACCCCAAACCTGGGCAAACCAGGAGTGCCCGCAGGCCCTGTTGTGAGGAGGGGCAGGTGTGGACTCAGCCCAAGGCCTAGAGGCTGGACCCAGGGCAAGGGGCCCTGGAGCAGACCCCTAAGGATGCCCCGGTCCGTGCCTAGATCCCGGCCAGCAAGGAGTTGAGATCAGCGAGGGGGCAGAGTTTTGTGACTGTTCAGGCGAACTTCGGCGGCACCTCAGTGGAGAAGGTGGTGCTGGTCGGTGTTCAGAGCGGGTACCTCTTCATCCAGACGGACAAGACCATCTACACCCCGGGCTCCACGGGTGAGGGGCTGGACGGTG